CAGGCAATATTATCGCTTATCGCAATAAATTTTGAGACAATTAATCGCCCAGCAACATTTGTTATCGTGACAGGCCTATCTACAAGACACCCACTGAGCTGACCATAGAAACATCCTGAGCAGCTAGAATCTGAAGATTCTGGTTGTAGTTTAATATCCTCCTAGAGCTAACTCCCCTCTTCGTTAGTTCTTGCTCATGTCTGTGTTAGTACMGTTTACAGCTTCGTGTGTGTTTCGTTTTTTTGTCCTTTGAGTTCTAGCACTATGTGGTGAAGTGATATTGAGTCTGGTCTTGCAGACACGGTATCAGGGAGGCTGCAGAATAACAACATCTACACCATTGCCAAACGAAACGTAGAAGGCCAGGACATGCTGTACCAGTCCCTCAAGCTRACCAATGGCATCTGGATCTTAGCTGAGCTCCGCATCCAGCCTGGGAATCCTAATTACACGGTAAAGTACAGACAAAGTGAAGCCTTTTATCCTTAAAGAGGACACATCCTGCAAAATCCACTTTTGTAACTGTTAAATACATTTTGTTGTGGACCTGGAGTCTCTAGGAAGCAGAAAAGTTTAATTTAGTCTCTCCTGGTGCTACAAAGACAACTTTATGTTCTGTTTGGGTCAGATTTTTCAGCCCGCTCAGTTTTCTCTATTTTCTAAGATGTTTTCTGAGCTATTATGTCAAATTATCTGCAACAGAATTGCCAAAAAAAGGTCTGGACTTGCCAACAACAATTTCCTCATCCTAATTTTCCTCTGGTTCTGGGTCAGACTCTGGTTCTGGGTCAGACTCTGGTTCTGGCTCAGGCTCTGGTTCTGGGTCAGACTCTGGCTCCAGCATAAAAGGTGTTGTTGACATCTTTCAGTTAAATTGTAAATGCAACATTTCTGCAAGCTAGAAAACGTAACCTCCTCCTCATGCAAACTGGAGTGGACCGGTCTGGAAGCCGGAGGGGGGCGGGGCTTGAAGCATCTTAAAGGAACGGTAACAAAGCAAGCTGCTTAGAGGCACACAGCAGAAAAGTGCTGAAGTTAAAATAAGGAGGAATTCAGACCCACTTTGTACAGACTCCATCTGAATGATTTAAATGTGAAAAGGACAGGTTTAAAAGCTTATGTCTATTTTAAATATTGTTTAGCAGTAATAGAAGAACATCCATTGCTGAATGAGGSTTTAAACTGTTTCTCTTCACCACATACTGATGGAGACCCTCTGTTTGTGCAGCTGTCYCTGAAGTGTCGGGCCCCTGAAGTGTCTCAGTACGTTTACCAGATGTACGACTCCATACTGAAGAACTGATCTGCTCCACCTGCCCTGCAGCAGCTCCTCCTCTTCAGTCCTTCAGTCCTGGCATCAAACTTCAGTGTTTCTTCATTTTGTCTTCTCTGCAGCTGACTGCCAGAACAAGAGAATCTAAGCAGTAACTGATCAATAATCTATCTTCTAAAACATTAAGTGTAATCTTTTTGCTCTGCAAAATCGGTTCAGTACACATTTATCGCAATCGTTTCTTTTTCTGGCAGTTTGGAAGCAGTTTTGCATTTCTTTTTGTTACACTCCTTGAGGTTTACTCCAGTAAAAATCATGTGAATCATTCCATGTTTAACTGACTGTCTTAATGTTGTGACTGATGGTGAAAGTGTCGTGAGCGAGAACAGCCGAACGTCTCCTGAGTTTTAACTAGGCCACCAATAWTCCTTTTTGTGGTTCTGATTTATAYTGYATGTTGTCTTTGCTTCAGCTGTCCCCTCAGACCGACGCCAGCGTTGGTTTGTCCAAACTGAAGCTACTGACGTTTTCTTTTTCTGTCATGACTCGAACACGCGGAGCATTTTCAGTAAGTTTACTCCATGCAGCGTTTGGATGCTAACGATATATTTTTGTTCTCATGATTGTCTGAACTTTTTGTGTAATTATTGCAAACGTTCACAAAAAATGAGAAAACAAATGTTCGAGCTGTGGCCATGCTTTTTTGCTAAGTTCTGGTGCTTTATTCTTGTGTTTTATCCAAAAGAGACGCATGTAAAAAAAAAAAAAAAAAAAGGAAACATGAGATGGTTGCATTACATGTCTCTGTCTGTCTGATTGCAGCTTTTCTGTATCTCAGCTCCTTTTTCTGTGAAGTTTTTAAAAACCACGCCARTGCAGGTAAACAAGATGTGTTCATAAATTTTAACGTTACTTAATCTAGTTTTAGCATCACMATGCAAATGGCAGAAAACATTCAGTGCTTTAGAATGTTAAAAATCTAAATTGGCGCCAAGCAGCTGGTAATTTTTTTCTTATTTTAAATCTTTGCCTAAATGCGTCATTCACTGCAGCCTCCTCRTTGTACACTCGTTGCCATTCCTATTTATTGTGCACCTACCTCCACATGTTAATTGTTTCAGTAGTTTCAACTATTGTTTCCTTCTGAACACTGATGTTATTTTGTGATATTCATGCCAGTGTAAACTTGCGACGAGCCGGCCAAATCCCAACTCAGAGGACCAAGAATTCTCTCAGATCAGATGCCAGGTTTATGGTTTAATAACCTTGTGTTGTTCTAACCTTTTTGTTGGCATTGTGTGGTATGTAAACAAAGTGCGCACACCCATATGCTCAGAATTGTCTCGTGGTCCAGTCATGGTATGTGTTGTGTAATTGATAAGCAGCTTCTATCACTCTGAAATTAAAATAAAGCTTTGCCTCTGTCTATTCCACAATGTTTTCTGTGCTCTAATTGTGCAAGGGACTACACTGGAGAAAAAAGCATTATACTCTGTGGACTTTAGTACATGTTGCTACTTTACAACCACAAGTATTTTGCTGATATTTTATGTGACGAAGCAGCACGTTTTTATGAAGTAAAAAGGAAAATAAAATGCGGTTTTCAGTTTTATTTTATAAATAATCTGCATTTGTGTTCCGCACCCTTTCAACTAAAATCCTGTGCAACATTCAGAAGTCACCTAGCAAGTAAAAAAAAAAAAGTCCATCTGCGTGTAAATCCAGCTGGAATGACAAAAAATTGGTTCTCCATTACTTATGAAGCATTCACATTATTGAAAAGTTTCTTCTGTACGTTTTTCAGCATGTATATTCTGCAATTCATGTGCTATTTCAGCAATTTATATATGAAAACATTCAGCTCCTTTTAGGACATTTTGACTTGGCTTTTGGTACTTTATACTTTTTGATTTTTAGCTTCTGCTGTTTTGTTTTCATTGGATATGAATGAAGCTTTCTTCAGCRTCCTTAAAACCCTTCAAAATGTTCATAAATCTGCCTCACTTTTAACCTTTTTTTTCTTGGTCTTATTTTTTTTTTACCTCTTTGCCAATTTCAGCTTCTATTTTGTTGATTTTAGCTTTTTTTTCCTTTTTTAGCTATCATTCTGACCTGATTTCAACTTGTTATGCATCTATTAGTTGATTTCTGCTAATTTCAGCTGTTTTCTGTGTTTTTAGCTACTTTTTCACTAATTTCAGCTAAATGGACCTTTTTGTGATAATTTCAGCTTCTTATTGCTGAATTCAGCAAACATGCTCTTTCTGTTTTTTGTGCTAATTCCAGCTATTTCAGCTRCCGGTACTTTGATCTATTTTAGGCTAGTTTGAGCTTTTTGAGCTATTGCTCATTTAAAAATTGTCACTCTCATTTCCCAATCTGTTAACTTAAATAGCCACTTTTAGCTTATTTTTGCTAATCTTAGCTACCTTTTTTTTTTTGCTCGTTTCAGTTTTACCCTTTTGATTGTTCACTTTTGTTTTCCTGCTTTCAGCAAAAGTCAGCTGTTCAAATTTAGCTCACATTAAGTTTTGCTATCGAACCTTTTTCAGTATCTTCAGGAGCTTTCAGCAGAAATCCCAGCATTTACCATTCACGTTGCATTTTCACAGGAAATGCACTTTTCTAGTTCTTAAATTACGTATTTGTGATTTAAATATGACAAAATGTGGAAATACTTCAGGGGTATGAAAACATTTCCAAAGCCTTTAGTGTTTAGACTGATTATCTGACTTTAAACTTGTTGGCCAAACATTTTGATTTATAAGTTTATTGTAGGTAATTTTCACTTGTGCAGAAATAGACACTAATGTCTACAATGATGTAAAAAATGTGTTTAGTGAAAAAAAAAAGTGCAAATCCAGCTGAACACAGATCTTCAGACACATACACTGTTGTCCTGCTTCTAATGAGGCTTTGGAGAACAACAAGTCTTCAGTTTCAGCACAGTGTGAATGAATGAATTGTATTCTTCGTCCAGCCCAGAGTCACAAATCGTGCTGACTGTCTGGGAGAAAAACAAAGCTTTTTACCCAAGATGCAGCCAGAGAAGGACGCTTCTTCAAAAGCCAAAACCATTTATCAGATTCTATTGCTATGCTTCGGTTTCAACAATTCAGGTAAGCAGCATTTCATAAACTAATTTACACGAACTTGTAAGGCACTAGTGGGACAACAGTTGTGGTAAAATACACGTAAAAAATGTTGTCTAAGTATGAGAGCTTTAAAAAGAAACTTATCTTTAATGTTCAATTCAACTCAGTTTATTTATATAGTGCCAAGGCACAACAAATGTCTTTGTACAAAAATAAAATAAATCCTAGGAAGTCAGCAGATTGTGTTGAATCACTTCGTCACAGTTTCCCATCCTGAGCAGCACATTGGCGACAGTGGAGAAGAAAAACTCCTTATTAACAGGAAGAAAGCTCCAGCAGAATCAGGCTCAGGATAGCTTTCCATCTGCCTCGACCGGCCACGAAGCGCTCCGTTAGGAAAATATGAAACAATAAGATCTTTAATATATGATGGAGCTTGGTTGTTGAAAGCTTTGTGTGTTCAAAGTGAGATTTTAAATTCTATTCTGAATTTGACAAAGTCAGTGGAGAGGAGCTAAAACTGGGGAAATATGATCTCTCCTTCCAACTCTCATTAGAACACTAGCAGGAAACCCAAATAAAGACTTAATAGTCCAGCATATTTGTAATAACTGCAGGGATCAGTAATGTTGAAGCTTTCTTTATCAAAATATTAAGAGAGTATGATAACAGTTAAACTAATTGTTTTAGATTATGACTTTCTTTGCTTGTGCAGTTTTTTTTAACCTTGTTAAGCGTCGCCACATCTGCTTTACCTGAAGCTCTCAGAAAAGTAGCTTTTTCTGTTTACATGAAGGCATATATCAGACTGAAGGTTTCTGCAGTCTTGTGCCCCATCTTTGTAAAAGATACAGTAATTGTCCCTGCAGGTGGTACCAGAACTGGTGTTTTCATGTTTTCAGCTGTCCTCATTACTGTCGGGCAACAAAGTCGCCGAGCCGCTGTGTTTCTGCGAAGCTTGCATCTGGTTGTCTCCCAGTGTTTTTGCTCATGAAGAGGGAAATTTGAACAAACAAAGCTCACTGCTGTTGGTTCATGCAGGCCCATCCCAGAGACAGACACACATAAAACTGGCTTGGATATAAATGACGCAGTGATGAGGTGGTGTCTTCATTTGGAAATCATTGTTTGCTGAACAGTTATTACAGTGGGAACACAAACAGTTTACATACTGCCTCAATGTTAAGTACCAGTGCAGAGGTTAGTGTGTCTTTAGCAAAGGGTTGAGTTGAGAAAGGGAGTCCAGGCATATCAAATCAGCTGCAATTTGCAAACAAAGGATGCCATTAAATCAGTCCACTTAATTACTAGTCAGTCTCTCCAGGGTTAACCCCAGCTTAGATCCTTTACAATCTTTCAGTTCAGCTTCAAAGTTATTGTAGCATCCCTCAACTGACCTGTGACGTCATGAAAATTTAATAGTGGGGCCTTGTTTTCATGCTTCTCCACAGGTGACGTGTTGGCAGTGAACATGACTATCCCCAACACTTTGATTCGAGGAGTAGTCGGAGGGGAGGCCCTTCTGTCCGTCCGATACAGCAGTCTCAGCCTGGATGTGCCRGTCATCAAGTGGCAGCTCAAGAGGGAAAAGTCTGTCACCGTCGTCCAGACGATCGGAACAGTCATCATTGGGACGTTGAGGTCAGAGTATCAAGATCGCATCCTGATCTTTGAGAACGGGACTCTGCTTCTGCACAACCTCAGGCCCTCTGATGATGGAACTTATGACGTGGAGATCTCAATCACAGATGATGTCTTCACAGGAGAGGGCAGCATCACACTCACTGTGGATGGTAGGAGCGGAGGTTCTGTTGAACATCATTTTACAGTATTGTCAGGATTCTAGTATATCGCTTTTGGTGTTTTAGTCCAAACCGAGACAAGCCCAAGACTTTTAGGGGCTAAACCAAGTCAAGACCAAGACCGAGGAAGGGTGAAACCAAGTGGGAGTGGGGACAGCAGTAACAAAAATACATAATTAAGTCACTTGATTTGAATCAGTACATTTAATATCTAATGACAGCAATGGTGTTAACAAATAAATTCAACAATATTCTCGTAATTTAGAGATATTTCTACAGTTGTGGTCTTGAAATAAAATCCTGAATCCTCAATGTCCAAGACCAAGTAGAAATCCAGTTTTGTAGAACTTTATTTCATTCAACAAACAAATAATAAAACAAACAATTAATAAAAGAACAAAAACAATAATAGAAACAAACAAATAATACAACATTGTTGTGTCAAAAAGACAATCACATCGTAGTCAAATGAAAAGGAGCAGAAAGAAGAATAAAAACTTATAACATCTGCCCCCAATTAAAAAAAAAATGTATCTAAAAAAACGTACAACATACGAGTAATAAAACTAAACTTAATGCACAATATATTTTCAAATAATCAATGTGGTGGAACTAATACTTTTAGGTTTAAGCCAGTAATTCATGATATACTTTAATGACCTAGGTTTTCATGACATGCTGTTCATCTGCAGACAGAATGATTAAAGTCAGAACAAGATYTDCTAACAACAGTCATTCTTAGATATCACTTGTGTTTATCTTTGTGTTTTCTATTGACCTTGTATCAAATCTTGCTAAGATGACATAATGGTGTTCGTTAATATATATATGAGGCCTCTCAAGTGAGTGACAGTGGAGAGATAGTGACAGAGAGAAGCAGAGGCACAGAGACAGGGCAGGTTGTTCTCTGTGTTTCCTGTTGTTGCAATAAACTCAGCTGATCATCCCATGGAGTACCTTCATTCTTGGACCACGTATTTCTGTCTCTGTTGTTAAATAAATATTGCCATAACAGTTGGCGTTGTCGCAGCGACCATTAGGAGATCGACGGACTAAGGCCACATTGCAGGTGGACTGACATGAGTGAGCAAGGACTGGACTGCTCAGGACCATGTCTCCAGACACAAACAGCATCACAACACAAATACAAATCTTAACCAATATTTTGTTCATATCTCATTTAAAAAAGATTTTTAGTATTCTACTAAATAAGTTGTTCCAGCATTCTTAAGGTCATCAAGCAATATACTGTATATATAT